GACTTTATGTGATGTGTTATTTTAACTGTGTGTTAGTCGGCTACTATGTATCAGCGTCACACTCCACATGTGCCAAATTGGAAATGTTACTCACGGCAGTCATCGTCACCTGCCGGCAGACCAATGCCCATGTGTAGGCTGGTGACAAGCCACGTCGTGCCGCGCACAGGGGCAGCTGCCGCTGGGGGCGCCCTTGGAATGGTTGAGATGAGATGCCGCGCAAGACGCGTTGAGTTGATGAAGCATTTAAGCAAGCGCCATATGAATACAATTATAATTTAACACGTAGGCTTTCGCTTATGTGGCAGATGTTATCTTGGACAGACGGGACTTAACATTAGCGTAAGACTACACGAACAGAAAATAAATATTAACTACTCTCAAACAATTATCGGCTGTTGCAGAACATGCTTGCCAATAAGGACACTCATTTGATTTTGATAACGTTGAAGTGTTGTTTAAAACTTAATATTGCTGTACCCTTTGGTTCTTTCGCTAAAGTCACGTAGGTAGAAAAATAATAGATCACGACGTTTCGATCGCAACACAAGCAATCGTCATCAGGTGGGACAACCACAGCAGTTTTTTCTTGCCGTGGTTGTCCCACACCTGATGACGATTGCTTGCTTGTTTTGCGATCGAAACGTCGTGATCTATGATGTATCTACCTACGTGACTTTACCGAAAGAACCAAAGAGTATTGATTCCTGTAGTCACGAAAGCTTCAAATCAAGACTAAACATTGCCGGCCCAAACTAATTCGATAATCTATTGACATTTAGAGATATACAACACATGTTTTACCGCTCTGATAGCTACAGGCTTAGTGCAGCCTGGACGCGTATTATTAAGTAATCTTACAACTACATTCCTTATAGAGGAGACGCATGCTAATGAACTAATTACTCATCTATTATATAATTACAATAACCCCCCCCCCCCTACTCTCCTGCGCCTCTGATATCTGCACCTGATGGGTTCAGTGACGACGTCGTTCTGCTACTGCTCGATATAAGACCGGGAGGAGGTGGATTGCTTCACTATTCTGGCAAATCGCCCGATGATGCTGGTTGTATAATTACCAGTGAAACGTCACTGGACTCAAATTGTAAATGTTGTGGATTTACTCTCCAACACACCGGTGGGCTGAAGTAGTAAACTCATTGGCGCGTTGTTTACGTGACAAACCTTTCTGGCTGTGTCGGGTGGTGGAGGGTTACGACACATAATTTCGCGACCTAACCCAGACACCTTTATTGTGAACAAATATAATTCTTAGTTGTTTCCCTACCTACCGCACCGGGAGATCGATTCTTACCGGCGGATTGCAATTTGCAGGGTGCTCTTACCCATTGCACCACGTGAGCTGCATGGGCACACGGCGGTGTTGTGCACACGGCTCTCGCAAGCCCAACACGTGGAAGTCAACACAATGCCTGCCGCTTGCTCGGGGAAACAAAACAACGACGGGCGCTCACTCCGCCCAGCCAAGCCAAACACGAGCGGGCGGACCGGTTTGAGTTGGCCTTCACATCGTACTCATCTCGATACGTGGCCAATTAGAGTGAATTATTCGATGACTCTTTAGTTTATAATGTTTGAGCTCGTAATTAAATCTTGACGGCCGCATGCGGTACCGTCAAGTGAAAGATCTTGGTCTGGGTTCGTGGACGATATCGATTGGGCTTCCAATATAGAAGTAGTGTAATGAAGAGGTGGATGCGCAGTCCTGAAATTGCATGCTCACACCTCTGCGGTGGAAGAGTCTCAACCACACAGTGTCCAGCCACGTCACTGCTGGTCACACCGACACACCCACCCACCCACTCACGACACTACTGGTCACAACCACTCACCCACCACACTGCTGGTCACACCGACACACCCACCCACCCACTCACGACACTACTGGTCACAACCACTCACCCACCACACTACTGGTCACACCGACACACTCAACCACTCACCCACCCACCCACTCACCCACCACACTACTGGTCACACCGACACACTCAACCACCCATCCACCCACTCACCACAATTGCTCTTCACACCGACACACTCAATCCCACCCACCCATCCACTCACCACACTACTGGTCACACCGACACACTCAACCACCAACTCACCCACCCACTCACCACACTTCTGGTCACAACGACACACTCAACCCCACTCACTCACTCACCCACCCACCACACTACTGGTCACACCGACACACTCAACTCCACCCACTCACCCACCACACTACTGGTCACACCGACACACTCAACCACTCACCCACTCACCCACCCACCCACCACACTGCTGGTCACAACGACACACTCAACCACTCACCCACTCACCCACCCACCACACTACTGGTCACACCGACACACTCAACCTCAACCACTCACCCACTCACCCACGACACTGCTGGTCACACTGACACACTCAACCCCACCCACTCAACCACTCACCCACGACACTGCTGGTCACACTGACACACTCAACCCCACCCACTCACCCACCCACCACACTGTAGATCGTAACGCCTGTCTTTCAGCTACTTCCCTCATACTGCTGCATTTTTAAATGCCATCCTCCCATCGTCTGAAGAGGTTACCACCACGTGTGAACTCAGTATTTTACCACTTTGATAGCGCGATGTTTATCACTGACAGACCACTTTACTTATCAGATCTTTGGGCCTGTTCTCTGTGTGTTTGTTGAACTTTCACACCGTGCGTAGCCAACTATGCTAATCGGAGGCGCTCTCCATCTGTGCGAAGAAAGAAACACCAGACTTCCATGGAGACCCACTGAATGACGCAGAGGCACGTGCACTTGCATGTGGCACGTGCACTTGCATGTGGCACGTGCACTTGCATGTGGCACGTGCACTTGCATGTGCATGGCGCACGTGCACTTGCATGTGGCACGTGCACTTGCATGTGGCACGTGCACTTGCATGTGGCACGTGCACTTGCATGTGGCACGTGCACTTGCATGTGGCACGTGCACTTGCATGTGCATGGCACGTGCACTTGCATGTGGCACGTGCACTTGCATGTGGCAATGTTGTCCCCTGTGCCACTACCCAACACGCGGATCACGGCTTTGCGAGGGAAGGGGGAAGTAGAGGTGTGGGCGTGCATACCTTGCGTGCTTTCTAAACTAAACTATGCTTTGTAACACGTAAGGGTTGTCACGTAGACAGAACGTGGCCAATTCGTCACTAGTACAGCACTAACCGGTGTGTTGGAGAGCCAAGCCACACCATTTACAAGCTGAGTACGACGTTTCGCCAGTAATTACAACTAGCTTCATCAGGCGACAGCCAGATTTGTGGAGCAGTCTCCTGTTTCGTTCCTTCTATATGCGCACTTGCGCACAATGGGTTGGGGAGATTACTGAGGCAGCGTACATGATGCATGTGCATCATGCGAGCCCTATGAACTTGTCCTTCCTGTCTATTGTGTGTATTAAAATAGCCGTATCAACGGTAATCCCTATTGAGGTATGGTGTCCTTTATAGGCATACATTTAAACAATATGTTATTTGGTGATTCGCTTCCACGCAGCACTAAGGCGGTAGCTATCCAAACGGTAAAACATATTTTTATTTAGTTTAATGTCGATAGATTATCTAATTCGTCTTGTCCAGTAGTAGCTAGTTTGGCACAAAACTTCAACATTATCAAAATCAATTGAGTGTCCTTGTTGGCACGCGTGTTCTGCTACTGCTGACAGTTGTATTTGGGAGTGTTTCATATTTATCTGATGTTTTTTTAGTCTCGTGCTGATCATTCGTCCTGTTTGCCCAACATAACATTTTCCACACGTGCAGTTAATCCGGTACACACCTTCCGTTGATAAACTATGTTTTATTTTACTAGGTGTAAGGCCCACTGAGCTAAATAGCATTTTTTTCAGAAGCGACCAGGCGATCGCAATAGATAGCTCAACAATCGTGGCTTATCACGTGGGAATGTTTCGCAGCCAAATACTTCGCTAAACGTCTGCGGCTCCACCAGGGGTGGACACCCTGCTGCTGCTGCTGCTGCGGAGCTCATCAATGACTCTCTCGTGACGTTCTGCGGGACCGTCTCGTATGCACGCGCATTGCGCCTCTTGGCAAATGTAGTTTTTGAGCGAATTCGAAAGAAAATGTCTCTTCTTGTTATTTTAGTTGCCGACCCCCACTCCCCCCCCCCAACATCCTTCCACCATCGCGACACGCACCACGGTCCGACGTTCCGCGCCAGGCCCACCCGGCGGAGACCGGCTGGCTTGGCGGGAGAAACGGAGAGCGAAATCAGCACCCAAAACCGGGTCCCAATCGCGGATCCTACAGCCAGTCTGTGCAGCTGGCTCCACGGCTCCACTGCTCCACACATGCCGCCTACCCTCTCCAGCGCTGGGGTCTCCGTGGCGAGCTGCCGCTGTGGCGCTGTGTACAGGCAGCGTCGCTTGTCCACTGGGTGGCCGCGTTCTGGCTCTCGTAGAGCTACAACCGCGCGGAATCGGCGTTCGCGCACACGCTGAATGGGTGCACAGCTCTGCGTGCACTTTAACGTGACGAGCAGAATTTCCCACCGCGTCGAACATCAGTGCGGGTCGATGTATCGTATTACGCAGAGTGGAGCGGTGGCGCAGTGGTTAGCGCACCGCAAATTTGACCCGGCTCCGGCTAACATCGGCACCCCGAGTTAAATCTGCACCACCCCTTTATAAGCAGCACATAGAGACCAGCGTGGTGAAGTATAGCCAAACAAAGCACATCCATCGGTTTCTCATCCACGAAGCTTCAAAGGTGAATGGCAGAGAGTTGCTTGTGGTTCATAAATAGTGGCTGCGTAGTACAGTCCATGTTTTGCATGACCCCCACTGTCACCTTTTTTGTTGCGGAGGGGGGGGGGGTTGGTTGGTGGTAACCCCCCCCCCCCCGTCTTTACCCCCTCCCCTTCACCCGAGCTGTGATTGGTCGATGTGGCGCGCGCCGCTTCCTCACGCACAGAGTGAGGTTGAGCCCGAGATTTGTGGTGAGTGGACTGAGCGATCGAGTGACTCGGCTTGGTGAGTTACTGACTCAGCTACTTGGTGAGTGATTGAGTGAGTGACGTGGTGAGTGATTGAGTGAGTGACGTGGTGAGTCATTGAGTGAGTGACGTGGTGAGTGATTGAGTGAGTGACGTGGTGAGTGATTGAGTGATTGAGTGAGTGACGTAGTGAGTGATTGAGTGAATGACGTGGTGAGTGATTGAGTGAGTGACGTGGTGAGTGATTGAGTGAGTGACGTGGTGAGTTAATGAGTGACGTGGTGAGTGATTGAGGGAGTGACTTTGTGGGTTATTGAGTGAGTGAGGTGGTGAGTTAACGAGCGAGTGACGTGGTGAGTGATTGAGTGAGTGACGTGGTGAGTTAATGAGTGACGTCGCTACGGCACCTGGGGTGCTCTCTGACGCCACGTGAAGTGTCGGAGGTTCTCTGGCAGGAGGTCTCAGCACAAACATCACGAAGTTCCCCACGTGATTTTTAACAGACTGTTGGGGCAAGTGCTGTTAGCGAGCACCTATGAAGGCTTGTACGGCACACGAGGAGGTGGGTGGCCAGCACCACGCCGGGCCGCCTTTGTCTCCCTGGTGGCGATGTTTTACACACCCCACCGGGTACTCATTTGAGGTCGAGTCGACCTAGGGGTGCTGCAGCACCAGTTCAGACAAATTAACTGGAATTAGCCATGAGTTGGACGGGTTCGTAGCGCAGTGCCGCCATCGCTGCACGACCGTTCCCTGACAGCACACACCCGAACAAAGACACAGGTGACGCACACACACGCACATACACCCACACACGCGTGCACACACACACGTGTATTGATAGCGCTGTGCGCGGATGTGCCGCAGGAGGCTGCGTCAGACGGGGCGGCAGTGGCGACAGACGCAAGAAGATGACATCCTGAGTTCCACTTACGGGGTCCCCGATTCCAAAGCCCGAGGGACCGGAATATGGAGATGAGCTGAGAGCAGACGATCGGGGAGACCTCGGATCGGGCCATCGCGAGGGAGCACGGCAGATCGGGAGATTCAAAGAGCGGGAGGACACCTTGAGACCTCGAGACCGGGAGGTTGGAACACCAGGAGGACCTCGTATCGGGGGATCGAGACGTGGGGAGGCCGACAGGGTGTGAGATCCAGAAGATCGCCAGACCCGACTGTACGCAGGAGGCCAGGAGGAGTTGGGGAGATTCGAAGACCGCGAGTCGGGAAGCGCGGTGAGTGGTCGCGGTTCCGCGTCTCGCACACGACGCAGCTGTTGTGCACGCAGAGCCCGTTCGTCACTCCACTGCTGGATGATCCCCCGCCCCTACCCCCTCCCAATGCCGTGCGGGTCGTGGGGCTTCGCCACGCCGCTTGTTGTGTCGACGTGCGTTTCGTGAAGCCGGTGAGTGGTAACGACGTGTGAGTGTCGGAGCGCCGTGCAGCAGTTGTTTCTGTTGCAGCTCTCTCTGCTGGCGATGTGTGCACAGTTCATGTTTAGTTTACATTCGAACCACTAAAGGTTTACACCTGCGAGCGATCTTCGAGTGCGGGTGCTCCAATTTCTTACACAACGCCTGGCGATCGTGGAAGGGAAGGGCAGACGCCGTCTGGAGTAGCTCCATACACCTCTAGTTCCGTGCAAGGTCCCTTCCGGCAGCAGTGGCTTGAGCGAACAACTGCAGAGCTGCGCCTTTACCGAGACGCTTGTAACGCCGGGCAAGCAGCACTCGGTCGAGCACAATGCACGTGGATGTGGAGTCCGTGTTGCCACCCCGGAGTGTGCGCTGGTTGGGTGACATCGATGATTAACATCGATGATTAACATCGATGATTAACATCGACTCTATCGGACCGCTGTCGTGTTCCCCAATGGATTGCCAGCCGCGGCTCACATCAGTGGCGAGTGATGTCGGAACCCCCACCCCCCCCCCCCACCTGCCTACTTCAGCACCCCGCATTGACCAGCGTGGTGAAATATGGCGGACTGGCTATCGTTACCCGCTGTGGCCGGTGGGGCGAGACTAACCACGGAGTGGCAGCCAAAGGATGAGAAACGCGCCCGTGGAGATGTCCCTGATTCACGGGACCGTGAGAGGCGTCGACGGCCTGGCGGGAGGCGGGGGGATGGGAGGGTTTCATCCAGCAGTGGGTCGATCACGGCTGTTGATGGTGAAGGGGGGAGGGGGCAGTACCTACTACGAGGGGTAGGGGTCACGCACGCGAAGCGCGGCCCTTGAACGGAGGCGATGAATGTCATCGGCCGGCAGTGAAGGTGAGTGAGTGGGGTGAGGGTGGCGTCTCCCGTGTCCGTGTGCCGCTCGCCTCGCTGGGTTCCGGTAACTCCAAGCCGTCGAGATAAGCGAGGAATGCAGCAGAGCCGGCCGGCTTGTGCCCGACGCGACCGGGTTGCAATCCCCTCCTGGCTCTCGGGATCGGAGTGGGGAGGACTGGATGGGAACACCAGGTGGGCGGGTGCGCGAGATGGGCGTGCAGGTGATAGCACTCCAACAATGGATTACTGATTCCATCTGTGCGGAGCCTTGATCGTTTCCCACGCTCTCATTCATGGAATTCGTGGACCAAGATCGTGATGCAGCAGCAGCAGAATCATCCTAGATACACACAAAAATCACTCAACACAATCGTCAGTCTAAATACAGATTCTGCGTCCTTTAAAAAACTAAATAAGATAATTTTAAAATACGCGACGTTTCAGCCAACGGCCCTTCCTCATAGCACATACTATGTGCTATGAGGAATGTGTTTCAGCCAACGGCCCTTCCTCATAGCACATACTATGTGCTATGAGGAAGGGTCGCTGTCCGAAGCGTCGCCTATTGTGCTTTTAGGCCGCATTGTGTTTTATGATCGTTTTGAGTTGTTGACTGCGCTTGTGCAGCCGGTGCCAAGTAGCAAGCAACAGCGTAGCAGCGGCAGCAGCTACAGCAGCAGCAGCAGCAGCTACAGCAGCAGCAGTAGCTGCAGCAGCGCAGGAGCAGCACCACCAGCAGCAGCTACAGCAACAACAGCAGGAGCAGCAGCGCAGCAGCAGCTACAGCAGCAGCAGTAGCTGCTGCAGCAGCACCAGCAGCACCAGCAGCAGCTGCAGCAGCAGCACCAGCAGCACCAGCGGCAGCAGCTGCAGCAGCAGCAGCAGCTACAGCAGCAGCACCAGTGCAGCAACAGCGGCAGCAGCTGCAGCAGCAGCAGCAGCTACAGCAGCAGCAGCTGCAGAAGTAACAGCAGCAGCAGCAGCTGCAGCAGTAACAGCAGCAGCAGCTGCAGCAGCAGCACCAGCAGCACCAGCGCAGCAGCAGCTGCAGAAGCTGCAGCAGCAGCAGCAGCTACAGCAGCAGCAGCTGCAGAAGTAACAGCAGCAGCAGCAGCTGCAGCAGTAACAGCAGCAGCAGCAGCTACAGCAGCAGCAGCAGTAGCGGCAACAGCAGCAGTAACAGCAGCAGCAGTAACAGCAGCGCAGCAGCAGCAGCCGCCAGATGATTTGTTGAGCCCTCCGGATGAAGCCCGTCTTGAGGCTCCGCCTGGTGACCGCGTTGTGTGTGTTGACTCGACGTGGCGCCTCCCTGGCACAAAGCTGCCACTCAAGGCGCCGTCACATAAAACCCAAACTCCACATACAATTATAAATATGTATTGATGTAATTAATAATAATATAATTAATAGTTTTGTTGTTGTTGTGCTGCCTTACCCAAGTTTGCATTTGGTGTTTAAAAAAATCGGCAGCCATTTGTACGTATCAACTTTATTTTCATTTATTTTTGACACTTATATCGCTCGCTGAACCGCCCCGACTGTGAAAAAGAGCTTCATAGCTCATCGGATTCCTCCTCCTCCTGCTGCAGTCTAAATACAGATTCTGATTCTGACATCAATAACAACGACGACTCTGAAGCTAGATTGGTGGTGTCGATGTCGGTGGGCTGCATGGACTCCATCGGCCGACACCCAAACCACGTGATCTCTTTTGTCGGATCCACATTCTAAGGCAGTGTGCATCCCTCTAGGCTTTACGCATATCTATAGCAGCATGCATACCCACAGCAGTGTGCATCACCCTGGGCAGTGTGCATACCTCGAGGCAGTAGAGCAAAGCCTTCCAGTACACGTCACGGTGGTGGTGTGGTTGCGGTTCCTTTTAATGCAACGCTCCTGCGCCCCACGAAGCCGCTCATGGTCCACCCCTGAATAGCATCCGCTGCACAAACCACCACGGCGGTAGATGCGGACACCTGATGGTGGCACAAATGGAAACGTTTGAACCTTGTCAGGAGTGGTTGCGACTGTGGTCATACACAGCAGACGCGGCACCACGTGCAACGACGCAATCACTCCAGCTCTGAGTATAGACGCGCAGAGCGGGTGGAAAGTGCCGCTGCGTATGGTGTGGGCCTGAGGCCACTTGTTGAAGGGATCTGGGAGGCAGTTCTGTGATATCCGCTTCTGCGGGCCATTTCCAGTCGGTGATAGAGAAAATATAAAAGTGTAGACATTGGTCTCTCAAACTGCTGTAGTCCAGAGGCGTGCGCGTTGTGTTTCTCATGTGCGCGTAAACATGTTCATCAAGGCGACACAGCCTTGGAATGTCAATCAGACCGTGATAGATACAAAAACTCACCACCACCTGCACCCTGAACACTTCCTCACGCCCTCCATTCACCCCCGACTCTGTGGCAGGAGGGTTCTGCCACAATGGGACGTCTGGTCTTGGATTACTCCAATCATCGAGTTTGTGAGAAAACACACCCACGCACACGAGGGGATAACAACCCAAAGGTCCTCCGTGTGGACGGGTTCGGGAACCCACTTGCTGTACTGCCACCCCTTGCCCACCAAGCCTACGCGTGCCACGGACCGAGTAGATCATTCAGTCTCCCTTCCCAGGGAGCCGGCCCCTTCGGGGAGGGGTGGCGGCAGGCAAAGAAGCCACGCCAGGCGGCAGGCCTCTGGCTTTTGGTACACGTGCTCGCGAACAGCACTTTCCCCGACGCCCCGTTGAGGCTATACGGTGCATCGTTGTCTTTGTGTTGTGTTAAGTGATCTGTGTGCTTGATTGCATGCGCGTGCGTGTGTAGCGGGTAGTGTAGCCGGTAGTGTAGCGGGTAGTGTAGCGGGTAGTGTAGCGGGTAGTGTAGCGGGTAGTGTAGCGGGTAGTGTAGCGGGTAGTGTAGCGGGTAGTGTAGCGGGTAGTGTAGCGGGTAGTGTAGCAGGTAGCGCGCTGCGCTACGATCCCAAGGGTCCCGAGTTCGATTCCCGCTCACGGTCACCAACACAAGTGACGATTATCTGAAACCGGTCTTGGACCTCCCCTAGGTCGACTCGGCCTCAAATAAGTACCTGGGGCGGTGTGTAAAAATCCCAAATCGGGAGACAAATACGGACAGGCGTGGTGCTGGCCAGCCACCCCCGCGTGTGACGTCCCGGCCTGTATAGGTGCGCCTCTTGACTTAAAGCTCTCGTGACTGCAGGAATTCATATTCTTTGGGTCTTTCGGTAAAGTCACGCACATAGGTTCAAATAAAATAACAAACAAACTACGACGTTTCGATCGCAACACAAAGCGTTCATGATGACGAACGCTTGTGCTGCGATCGAAACGTCGTAGTCTTTTTGTTATTTTCTTTGAACCTATGTACGTGACTTTACCGAAAGACCCAAATAATAGGTGCTACTCTCTCAGCACTTGCCCCTAAAGTCTGTTAAAGCTATACGGGGGATTTTTTAAACTATGTTCGGCTACTTGACACTTCACGTGGCCTCTAAGCGCACCTAGCCTGACACAAGCACCGAGGGAACGTCTCCACTACTTTGTAGCGAATGGCTGTTGTTGTGGGTATGTAAGCGCATTTACAAACGGACAACTCTCATAGCCAAGGTGAGTAACCACGAGGGCGCGCGTGCTCGTGCGTGGGTTAATGTGGATTACATTCTTGGCATTGTGTTGGCTATTGCGTAACGCCACAGCTGAGCACACGCGTGCGTGCGTGTGCACTGCGCTACGAACCCGACCACCCGAGTTCGATTCACCGCTCACGTCCAACACCAGTGGTGGTTATCTGAACCGGTCTTCGGCCCTCCCCTAGGTCGACTCAGCCTTGAATTTACGTTGGCCACGACGCAAATTGTGATGTGCGCCGTGCCACCCACCGTAGGTTCTCGCCACCGACGATACTCGCTCCAATCGCCTTTGTAAGCTACACGGGGGGGGGGGGGTGTCTTCGCTCCGCATGCAGGTGCGGTTTGGGTAACCCGAACCCGCAAACACTGCAGAGTCATCGAGTGCGGGGATTGGTGGGGGGAGAACAACAACGGGCCGAAATATTTACGTCGGTTTAGCGACCCCCCCCCCCCCCCCCAACATAGCAAACATCTGAAATGCCCGTACCATCAATCACGGGAACTCTAAACCCGAAACGTGAAACCGCCTATGAACCAACTCGCGTGGAATGCAGCCGACGATCTGAGCCTCTGTGGTAAATCCATGGTTGGGTGAGCGCCTCTCCACACACCACGTGGGGCGTTGGTGCTCGTTGATCATACTTCGGCGCCTTGAAGGCGGGGTGCGTGGTATAGACGCGGGAGCATCGAAGTGCAGTACAACATTTAGGTGTTGTACTGTCCACCTTCTGACCACCGGCTACCTCGGTCCCATATCCATCGATGCCAACCTGGCGTGAATGGCGGTCACCCATCCGTGGCACTATGCAGGTCCAAACCTGCTTAGCTTCGAGACCTGGCGATATCGGAAACCTCTGTTCACAGCTCGCCTGATCCGTCCCATTCACGCTGCGTTCACGCACTGCAGGTCACAACAACTCACCCACCCACCGACTCACTCACCAATCCACTCGCTCACTCACCCACTACACCGCAGGTCACATCACACTCACCCAGTCAACCACTCTTCACCCACCTACTCACTCGCTCACCCACTCACAGCACTGCAGGCCACAACAACACACCCACACAACCATCCACCCACCTACTCACTCATCATTCCACTCGCTCACCCACTCACCACACTGCAAGCCACAACATACACCCACCCAACCACCCACCTACCTATTTACTTACCCATACACTCGCTCACCCACTCACCACACCCCAGGTCACACCACTTCTCGTTCTGCGTGTTCGCCCCCACTTTGGAGTTTCGATGCGTCGCATCATTTCCCCAGTTCTCATCATCACCTCGCTAAATCTAAGTAACCTACGAACTCTCATTTATTGCAATGTTAACGGTGCTGTTGTTACCGGCCACTCGGTATTGTCAGGCTTTGCTCAGTAAATCGTGATTTAGTAATAAAAAATGTGTATATATATTCCGCTTCTTTCTAGATGCAAAGTATTCGTGACTGCAAGGATCCATACGCTTTGGTTCTTTCGGTAAAGTCAGCTATATAAACCCTTGTTAGAGCCATCTCTTCGGCATACCTCAGCAGCTGTTTTCGCTCTGGTTGTCCCCACCTGATGGCAGGCGCTCGTGTTGCGCCCGAAACGTCGTGATTTAATTTAGTTGTTTTTTTATATATTTTTTTCACTTACGTGACTTTACCGAAACATCCAAAGAGTATTCCGCGTATGTTGTCCGTCACCAACAGAGTAACTCCTGGGTTCCGCAACCAGGAGGCGAGGAGGTCAAGGAGGTCCTTGGAGTCGAGATCTGTGAACCCCACGAGCCTCGCCCGGAGATCGATGGAGCGACTCGCCCGGATCACCCCGGCCCTGCTGCTGCTGCTGCTGCTGAGCCTTCATAGCGGGGTTGGTGCTCATTTCACTGCCGCAATGTGCGGGGAGTCGCTGCACTGATCACAGTGGTTAGCACAGGAACGGGGTACTACGACTGGCAGCATCACACAACGTGTAACAGAGTGGTCCGGGTGTCTTTTGACCCCCATTTAATTATCTAAAACGTAATATTTTAAAGGTAAGGTTTATTTTAAATAGAAATGGATATTAAAATGAACAAAAACAATGTTTGGGGTCAATTAATTAGGGGGGGGGGGTTACAAGACATCTGGACCACCCTGTAGAGGAGGAGATGAGGCGTTAAATATAATAAGCAACATAATTGCGTTTAGTTTGTGAAACAATTAACGACAATATCCGAAAACACGCTGCTGCTGCTGCTGCTGCTGATGATGATGATGATAACCATGCTGTTGATGCTGCTAATGATGGTAACCATGTTGCTGCTGCTGATACCGTGGGGCATGGCCGCGAGGTAGCGTTCGTTTGAGCCCTTGCCAGGCACGGAAGACGTACAAAGTGGTTGCTAAAGGCGTGCATTAGGAAACGCACACGCAGGTGAATGACATCGCCACTCGCACTGTTGAGAACGGTGGGCACGGGGGAGTGACCACGGCCGATGGTCGAGGTTCATAACGGAGCGGCGGCCAAGGGACGGAACGCGCACGAATGGGGAGATGGAGCCATGAAATGAGCCGCTCGCGTGCGAAGCGGGTACCGAACGGGCGATTTACATCCAGCGGTGGATCGACCACGGCCGATGAGATGTTGAACGACGGCATTCCCGCGAGCCATGTAGACATGTGCCTTGTGTGGGCGACGGTGGTTTTTTCTATTTACGACAACCCCGTTCCGCCTCCCCGGGCTAGTCCGACAAAAGAGACAGGGGGCGTCAAGAATGCGAGCGAGTTCGTGCCGGGCGCGAAACCCGTCGAGCCAGTCGGAGACGCCTGGCACGACGGGCGAAACACGCACGGCATGGGGGGGGGGGGGGCGGCAGTGTCGCGAACCCCAGCCACCCCGACTGCCGCTCACGGCCGACATCCGGTGGGGAATGTTCGAACCGGTCCCGTGCCTCCCCTCGGTCGACTCAGACTTCGATGAATACACGGTGCAGTGTGTAGGCATCAGCACTGGGGAGACAAAGGCGGCCGTACGTGTGGTTGGACACCCGTCCTCTCGTGTGCCGTGCCGGCCTTCATAGGTGCTACTCGCTAACAGCACTTGCCCCCAGAGCCGGTGAAAAGCTATACGGGGATCTTTTTCTTTGTATTGTGTTGCGCATGTCATGTTCTTGAGTACCCGCAGACTGGCGATAAATCAGTAATTTAATGGACATCACACAGCATCAATCATATACATCATAGATCACACTCAGCGTGATGAAACAAATCACTGCGCTGCCAGGGGTGCACACATTGCAACACATCTCAATGATGTGCTTTGAAGAAAGGCTGCTGCCCAAAATGTCGCCGATTATACGTCTCCTTTTAAGGCCACGGTGCGATTGACGGATGTGTTGAGTTATTTGTTGTTTGTGCACAATGATGATATAAATGTTGTCGACGATGATGACATGATCGTGATGATAACATGATTATGATTATGTATATGCATGTGTGTAGAACTTCTTTCGCACCGTACGTAGCCAACCCTGCTAATGGGAGGTGCGGGGATTGATGACATGATCATGACGATGCAGCACCACCACCTCCTCATCATCATTATCCACAAACCTCTACCATAACCATTGTAATCATCACCAATACCCCAATAGCCACCATCGCCGTAACACCCAGCACCACTGCCAACACCACCAACCACCCACACGTGGTCGACAGTCGTGCGGAATGAAGTCACGTGCCGTGCGGAATGAGGTCACGTGTCGTGGGGAACGAGGTCACGTGCCGTACAGAACGAGGTCACGTGCTGTGGGGAACGAGGTCACGTGCCGTGCGTAACGAGGTCACGTGCCGTACGGAACGAGGTCACGTGCCGTGCGGAACGAGGTCACGTGCCGTGCGTAACGAGGTCACGTGCCGTGCGTAACGAGTCCTGCTGACACGTCCTCCTCTCGTCTCTTCCCGGTGCCCCCCGCAGGCTGCAGGGAGCGTGGAGGGTGCACGCGCAGCGCGGGTCGCACGAGGTAACGCCTCCAAACGCGTCTCCTGTTTTTTTTTTCTCACAAACTAAAAGCTAAAACGACAACACGAAAGCAAAAACACAAAGGGACTGCTATGGCGGTCAGATAAAAACACAAATCCGCACGTTCGTCATGAACAGCACCTGGTAAAAACAACTTGGGTGGGGGGGGTTAGCGCTACGCTGCACTACGAACCCGGCGACCCGAGTTCGTTTGCCGCTCACGGCCACCAACATCAGTGACGATTATTTAGACCGGTCGTGGGCCTCCCCTAGGTCAACTCTGCCTCAAATACTTACCGAGAGCGGTGTGTAAACTTTGATAATGGGGAGACAAAGGCGGTCGGGCGTCGTGCTGGCCACCCAACCCCTCGTGTGGTGGCCTTCGTAGGTGCTACTCGCCAACAGCACTTGCCCCAACAGTTCGTTAAGGCTACGCGGGGGACCTTTGTCTTTGGTTCGTGCTCTATGGTGACTGTGGTCTCTGTCGGCAGCGGCCCCGACGCAGTCGTTCCTGCTGGAGCTCGAGATCTCCACCACGGACGAGTTCTTTGACAAACAAGCCTTCATCAACCTTCTGCTCAACCTCCCTCCGTCATCCTTCAACGGCAGCTACGTCAACATCACCGATCCCGTGCTCATCAGCGGTGTGTGCCCGCGCGGGTGTGCGTGTGCACGTGTGCGGGGTGTGTGCGTGGTGTGTGCGTGTGCACGTGTGCGGGGTGTGCATGTGCACGTGTGCGGGGTGTGTGCATGGTGTGTGCGTGGTGTGTGCGGGGTCTGTGCGTGGTGTGTGCGGGGTGTGTGTGCGTGGTGTGTGCGGGGTGTGTGTGTGCACGTGTGTGTGTGCGGTGTGTGTGCGTGGTGTGTGCGGGGTGTGTGTATGCACGTATGCGGGGGGTGTGTGTGTGGTGTGTGTGCGTGGTGTGTGCGGGGTGTGTGTCTGCGGTGTGTGTGCGTGGTGTGTGCGGGGTGTGTGCATGGTGTGTGCGGGGTGTGTGTGTGTGCACGTGTGCGTGGCGTGGTGTGTGTGTGTGCGGGGTGTGTGTGTGCACGTGGTGTGTGCGCGTTTTAGCGATCAGGTTACGCCCAGACGTCCCTTGACGCCCGGGCCAGATTGCTACGTGGGGCCTCCTCCTTCATCCACCCCCAGGCGCGGTGTGGGGCCCCTGCGTGACGCGTGGGGGTGATGGCCCCTCCAGCCCCTGCCTCTGGGTGGCCCTGTGCGCGACGATGATGATGATGATGGCACTACTCATGATGATGATGATACTACTAATGATGATGATGACGGCACTACTCATGATGATGACGACACTACTCATGATGATGATGACGGCACTACTCATGATATTGATGCCGCTGCTACCACTTCGTATGATGCTTCACGCGTCACTCGCCATGACTGTCTCCCGCGTCATCATCACCACCACCACCATCATCATCATCTTGTATAATCCGATCGTAATCGTCATCATGACTACCATCGCCACCCACCACCTTCACCCGCGCCACAGCGATCGTCATCATGATGATCGTCATCACCATCATCACGATCAGTGTCACCCAACACCACCACCACTCTGTCCACCGTAACCGTCATCACCATAACTACCACCGCAGTCATGATCTTCATCACCACCACCTCTATCTCACCCCCCCCCCCCTGGCCCCCTTCTCAGAGTGTGTCCCCCAAGGCAACGAGACGCAGTGTCGGTGCGGAGCGGGGCTGCTGTGGGACACCTCCACCTGCCAGGCGCTGGGGCCCTGCCCCTCGGACCCCTGGGGAGCCCCGCAGGGGTGCAGCTGCGTCCGGGGAGCACCCGCGGACCCCTTCCAGTGCAGCGCGCCGCCCCCTGCAACCACATCGACAACCACCCCCATCGCCACGACCGCCATGCCAACCACGACAGCACCCACAACGTCAACAACGACGCCCAACGTCACAACCACCCCCAATGTCACAACCACCCCCAACGTCACAACCACCCCCAACGTCACGACGACGCCCAACGTCACGACCACCATGCCAACCACCACAGCACCCACAACGCCAACCACAACAACGCCAACAACAACGCCAACAACAACGCGAACAACAACACCAACAACAACAACGCCAACAACAACGCCAACAACAACAACGCCAACAACGCCAACAACAACAACGCCGACAACAACACCAACAACAACGCCAACAACAACGCCAACAACAGCAACACCAACAACAACACCAACAACAACGGTGACCACCACGACGGCAAGGACCACAGTGAAGCCGATCACCCCTTCTCTCCCTCCACCCACGAGTGAGTCCACGGGGGGGGGGGGGGGACCCCGGGGGGGACCATTCCGCGGAGCCCTCAAAATACGGGGGGGAGTGGGGGTGGGGGGCGCCGTTGAACGAGCACCGGGGGGGCCGCCACGACCCTCAGGGTCGCGGGGGGGGGGTCCCGGGAACCACGCGCGCCGCTACGGCTGACGTCGGAGTCACGACTGGACATGCCCCCCTCCAAACACCTCGCCCCCCCCCTTCCAAATAGCCCCCCACGAGAGGCAAAGCAGATTATGTTGTCGATAGAGGGCGAGCAAACAAAAACCGCAGGCCACGGCGTCACGGGCTCTGATCGAACTTGACACGATGCGTTCCACGTGTGTTGGACACGTAGCAGTAGTCGGGCTTTCGCCACCAATATTATCCGTAATAAATGCCCTTGGGGTTAGATCGCGTAAGTATAAATGTGTCGTTAAACCCAAACCTTGCTAATGGTCTGTGTCGGGTGGTGGCGGGTTTAACGGCACATTTAACTTTACGAGATTTAACCCAAAATTTTTTTTATGTTTCAAGTGACCGCGGCGCCCCCTTTTAAAGCGTGCGGTGGTGACTACGCTGCTGCTGCCGCTGCTCGCGGCTGCCTGGAGTGGCACAGCGCTGTGGAGGCAGCAGCAGCAGCAGCAACGAGGGATGGTGGATCAGGCGCGGATGTTGTGTGAAACTATTCCCTTCCCGCTGTGGGCGGGGGGGGGTTGAGGGTCTGTGAGAGGGTCATTGTCCTCTCTGCTGCACAGGTTCCTTTAAGACGTCGTTGAGGATGGCGAAAGATTTCACGGATGACTTGAAGGATCCCACTTCGGCCGAATACAAGAAGTTGGAAAGCGAGATCCTTATTATTGTGAGTAGCGCCAAGGCAAGGGTCTGCTAATGCTGCTGGGTGTGTGCGTGTGTGTTCCTGTGTCAGTGTGTGTGTGTGTTGCTGTGTTAGTGTGTGTGTTCCTGTGTCAGTGTGTGTGTTCCTGTGCCAGTGTGTGTGTGTGTTGCTGTGTCAGTGTGTGTGTGTTGCTGTGTCAGTGTGTGTGTGTGTTGCTGTGTTAGTGTGTGTGTGTGTTCCTGTGTCAGTGTGTGTGTGTGTTCCTGTGTCAGTGTGTGTGTGTGTTCCTGTGTCAGTGTGTGTGTTGCTGTGTTAGTGTGTGTGTGTGTGTTCCTGTGTCAGTGTGTGTGTGTGTTGCTGTGTCAGTGTGTGTGTGTTGCTGTGTCAGTGTGTGTGTGTTGCTGTGTCAGTGTGTGTGTGTGTTGCTGTGTTAGTGTGTGTGTGTGTTCCTGTGTCAGTGTGTGTGTGTGTTCCTGTGTCAGTGTGTGTGTGTGTTCCTGTGTCAGTGTGTGTGTTGCTGTGTTAGTGTGTGTGTGTGTTCTTGTGTCAGTGTGTGTGTGTGTTCCTGTGTCAGTGTGTGTGTGTTGCTGTGTTAGTGTGTGTGTGTTGCTGTGTTAGTGTGTGTGTGTGTTCCTGTGTCAGTGTGCGTGTGTGTTCCTGTGTCAGTGTGTGTGTGTGTTGCTGTGTTAGTGTGTGTGTGTGTTGCTGTGTTAGTGTGTGTGTGTGTTGCTGTGTTAGTGTGTGTGTGTGTTTCTGTGTTAGTGTGCGTGTGTGTTCCTGTGTCAGTGTGTGTGTGTGTTGCTGTGTTAGTGTGTGTGTGTGTTGCTGTGTTAGTGTGTGTGTGTGTTGCTGTGTTAGTGTGTGTGTGTGTTTCTGTGTTAGTGTGTGTGTGTGTTGCTGTGTTAGTGTGTGTGTGTGTTGCTGTGTTAGTGTGTGTGTGTTGCTGTGTTAGTGTGTGTGTGTGTTGCTGTGTTAGTGTGTGTGTGTGTGTGGTGTAGCGGTTAGAACGTTGAGTGTTTGCGCACACACACAGTGGGGAGCGGTAGTGTGTTGGTTAGCGCGCTGCGCTATGAACCCGGTGACCCGAATTCGATTCCCGCTCGTCGCCAACACACACACACGCACACACGCGCACTCACGTATATTCACACAGACATGCGCACTCACATATATTCACACACACACGTACATTCACGCATGCGCACTCACGTATATTCATGCACACACACACACACACTCATGTACATTCACACACACGCACGCACACACGCTCCCACGTACACGCACGCACACACGAACTGCTATGCAAAGCGACCCCACCTCTTGGACAACTTCCTCATGCCGCGCCGCCAGCGCCGAGCGAGACTCAGCGGGCAGGCAGCTCGCCGCGGGGCGCCGGTCAGCGGCGCACACGCGAAGGGAAACAATCGGAGCTGGGGACAGGTCGGCGCACTTTGGTTGTTGTTGTTGTGGTGGTGGGAACAAGAAGGACGCCGCCTGGCGATGGACTGCAAAGGAAGGAGGTGGGCGTACGGTGACGTGCTTAGCTGTCGCATCGCACCGTCGCCTTTCACTGTTCCCACGTGTGCACCACCACCACCACGCGCCACCACGCGCACCACCACCACCACGCGCACCACCACCACGCGCCACCACCACCACGCGCCACCACCACCACGCGCACCACCACCACGCGCCACCACCACAACGCACCACCACCACCACGCACCACCACCACCACGCGCACCACCACCACGCGCCACCACCACCACCACGCGCCACCACCACAACGCACCACCACCACCACGCGCCACCACCACCACGCGCCACCACCACCACGCGCCACCACCACCACCACGCGCCACCACCACAACGCACCACCACCACCACGCACCACCACCACCACGCGCACCACCACCACGCGCCACCACCACCACCACGCGCCACCACCACAACGCACCACCACCACCACGCGCCACCACCACCACGCGCCAGCGCCACGCACCACCTGACGAGCTGTAACACACCGCTCTCTCCCCGTTCACAGCTCATAGGGGAGTACGCGAAAATTGGGTCGACGTTCCGGGGGATCCGGATACTTGGATTCAAGTGAGTGTGCTGCACGTGTCCCCCGGAGCTTCGTTCGCTATTGCTCCCATGAAGGGCACGAGTGGTTATAAATGCACGTTAGCTGCGCGATGCCTTCCAGGTACATCTAGCTGTTGTCTTTACAGGTACATCTAGCTGTTGTCTCTGCAGGTACATCTAGCTGTTGTCTCTGCAGGTACATGTAGCTGTTGTCTCTGCAGGTGTATGTAGCTGTTGTCTCTGCAGGTGTATGTAGCTAACAGTGCATATTTGCTAATAGTCTTTTTCATACCTGATGTAATAGTATTTATAGTTTCCTGCCCCCCCCCCCACTCTACATCCGGACCCCTTTAGAATGTTGGCTATCTCCATGATAGAATATCGTATTGTCATCAGTATACCAAGTTTGCAGTCGATACCACATTGGGAAGTGGGTTAAAATTGAGTTACAAGATTTGAGGACAACGACAACAACAACAGACAGAGTGAGTTAAATAAAAGCGTGTAATAATACAAGCGTGTAATAATAAAAGCGTGTGATAATAAAAGCGTGTAATAATAAAAGCGTGTAAAAACAAACTCGTCGAGCAGGGCAGGGCAGACCGAACAGTGCAGAGTGGTGGCGCAGTGATTTTGCGTACGGCACTGAGAACTCAGCGACCCAAGTTCGATTCCCCGGCCGTGACTAAAATCAGTGGCGAATGATAATCTGAACCGGTCCTGTACCCAGGCCCCCTGCCCCCCCCCCCCAACAGCCGTCACTGACCAGTGTTTTGAAGTATGGTCGAACAACAATATCAGTGCAAACTTCCCGTGGCAGTTGTATCTCCGACCTTGAACACAAAGCGCAGCCCTTGTCTCTATCACACAACGTGCAATCACTTGCATGTGCCAACATTAGCTGAGTGGCTATAATGGTTTGCAAAGGAGAGATGTCATGGTTGGATGCTCGTCTAATTGTTTGTATAGTCTGTCCGTGTCTGTGTGGTCTGCCCCATATCTGTGCTTGCCTGCTCTGTCCACGTCTGTCTGTGTGCGTCACCCGTCATGGCGTGTCTGTCGCTCTGTTAGCACTTCTCTCTGGCTGTCTGTCTCTCGATATGTCTGATCTGTCTGTCTGTCTCGGTACGTATGTGTGGTCTGTCTCCCTACATCTATTTATTTGCCCTGTACATCTCTTTCACTGCCTCGCTGCCTGGTCTGTCTGCCTCTCTCACTCTTGTACGTCTGTCTCTCTGTATGTCCCTGTCTCTCGGTGTGTATGTCTCTCTGTATGTCCATCTCTCTGCATGTCTTGTATGTCTGTCACTCTCTCTGTATGTCCATCTACGTGTGTCTCTGTTAATCTCTTTAAGTTCTCAGCTGGTCAAGCTACGGCTTCTGCACGCACGCTCCCGAGTGCAGGCGATGAGGAGCCGAGAAGGGACACTTTTACAATTGACCCATCAAGCACGCCCGTGCTTGAGTGAGCGTGGGCCAATGCCATTTTCCGTACGGCAGCCCTGAACCAGGAGTGGACATTCGACCTTCCAATGACGGGGGTGGTTTTTAAACACAGGACAAGCCCCCTGCTGACTTCCTGCGAGTGTTATGCAAACATCGATGATGATGATAATGTTCACGAGGGTGACGATAAAAAAACAATCATTCGGTTACATTTGCTAATCTGACGTTCCTACAACACATTCCTGCGGAGGGAGCTGGTAGGAACGTCGGGTTGCTCGGTCAATGGCCAGGGTCAATGGCGGTGTGGTGTATTCCGCAAATATAGCCGACTGTGAGGGCGGGCACAAGCCGGTGTGAGTAGGTTAAACGTTGAGTTTTATAAGGGCACCACGGGGTGACCAGCCCCTCCCCACCCAGCCCCACCCCTCCCACCCCCCACCCAGCCCCACCCTTCCCACCCAGCCCCTCCCCACCCTCCCCTCCCCGCCCAGCCCCTCCCCGCCCAGTCCCTCCCCACCCAGCCCCTCCCCACCCTCCCCTCTCCACCCAGCCCCACCCCTCCCATTTTTGGATGCACGACGGACGGACGGACACAATAATCCCCTGTGGGCTGGTGTAACCAGGAGGTTCCTACCAGTAAAAGCGACTCGTGGCATGAAACCACGTTGAGCCACTGATCACTCAGCTGTGGAACCAGCTCACGTCCTCACCCACCATGTTGTTTCTACTTCCTGCAAGGGTTGAGGGCCACGTTTGCAGATGAAGTCAACTGCACAGCACATGTTCAAATGTCCATTTGTCTCCGTTGGTCATGTCCAACTAACGTCCTGAGCCAGTGGTGGAAATGTCACATTCGTATGGCGGGAACCACGTTGGTCACAGGAGCGTCATCAAGTGAATGATTGATTGTTATTTCTTTGCAGGAAAGGCAGCGTCATCGTTGAATACGAGATCTTGGGTGACAACCTCACCTTGCAAGAGGTCGCTAACAAGACAAAGAGTGTGATTAATGTCCTCCTTAAGAACAATATGAGCACAGACCAGATGGAAATCCTGGAGATCTTGAAGACAGGTAAAGTAGGTCTCACTGGCCGCTCACGCGAATCGGCTTCGCCACGGCGGCGACGTAGACGTTGTCTCCTTCGCCTGGTGCCCAGGAAGTGGTGGGTTCGATCCCGGACCCTGCGACGCCTGCAGTGCATTTCTCTCTCCGTGTGTTCTCTCTCTGTGTTCTCTCTCTCTCTGCGTGTTCTCTCTCTCTCCGCGTGTTCTCTCTCTCTCCGCGTGTTCTCTCTCTCTCTGCGTGTTCTCTCTCTCTCCGCGTGTTCTCTCTCTCTCCGCGTGTTCGCCTTCTCTCCGCGTGTTCTCTCTCTCTCCGCGTGTTCTCTCTCTCTCCGCGTGTTCTCTCTTTTTTTTTTACGATCAATGGAAACAAGAAGATGCTCGGTGTATTCGGCACTTTGTTTCGTTCATCATTTCGTAAATTTTTTTTTTTTTTTTAAACGGGGCTTTATGTTGCCCTCGCTCGCTCGCTCTCTCGCTCACTCGCTCTCTCGCTCACTCTCTCGCTCGCTCGCTCGCTCGCTCTCTCTCTCGCTCATTCTCTCGCTCCTTTTCTCGCGCTCACTCTCTCGTTATGTACGCCGCCCCCCTCGCAGTCCGACGGCCTCCGACGGGTAGCTCATAACAGCATGCAGAGCTCCCCGTCATCTGCCACCGAGCACACGACTTCGTGTTTTCTCTCTCTATGCGTGGTGGTCGCCGTCGATTGTTCTCCGGTTTCCTCCGGTTTTACCCCCCCGTCTCGAGTCAACGCACGTTTAGATTATTTTGCTGTTACGATCAATGATTCCCGCGTACGGTGATGATGACGATGATACCAGCCACTTCGATGATGAGCGATCATCACGCGTGGCTAGGCCGCCCTGGTTAATACTGCGGGCCGCACCTCTGATTAGCACGGTTGGCTCCGTACCGAGTGACGGTGTTTACACACCGCACTAGGTACTCATTTGAGGCTGAGTCGAGCTAGGGGAGGCCCAGGGCCGGTTCAGATCACTGTCAACGGTGTTGGTTATGAGCGGGAATCGAACTCTGGGTGCCGGGTTCGTAGCGCGGCGTAGCACTAACTCACTGTGCTGTCACAGCGTGTACGTAGCGAGTCTCAAGTCGCTGGGACTGTCTCGTCCCGCGATGATGACGCTGATGATGATGCTGATGATGATGCTGATAATGATGACGCTGATGATAATGCTGATGATGATGCTGATGATGATGACGCTGATAATGATGATGTTGATGATGCTGATGATGATGACGCTGTTAATGATGACGCTGATAATGAGGATGCTGATGATGATGACGCTGTTAATGATGATGCTGATGATAATGCTAATAATCATGATGTTGATAATGATGCTGATAATGATGATGCGGATACTGATGATGATAATGACGATGCGGATACTGATGATGATGCGGATACTGATGATGATGCGGATACTGATGATGATAATGACGATGCTGATGATGACGATGCTGATAACAATGATGGTGATGCTGATAATGATGGTGATGCGATGTGCAGGAATGATTAAGAACCAGAGTATGGACAGCCTACTTGTGGGAGCTCGGCTCGTGCTGCAGTGCAGCCTGGAGGACAGGGACGCAACTAATGGAATGTGGACGGGCAGCGGCATCGCAGAAGGAAATCAGACCCATTGGTCGAACTTGCTGGAGAAAGGGGTGACTCTCACCTTCGATCACGTGCTACAGACGAACCAAGGTGAGCAACATGGGTCGGGCGCGTGCAGGTACAGGGATGATAATACCGTCCCACCGCTCGCCACCGCTGTTAGGGTGAGCGTCGCAGCGGCTCGGCTCTGCGGTCGAGCGAGCGGCTCCGCAGTCGGAACGGTGCGAGTTCACACCCTGGCGGGGGGTGGGGGGGGGGTTCACTCGGTCCGTCATCCCTCGCTCTGGGGCCGACGATGCGAGCGCCACTCTGTGGAGAAGTCAACAGCGGTTGTACCATGGATAGACTCTCCCCCGCCATAGCAATGTGGGATTTCCACCACTAGCTCAGGCCTGTTAACGGGAGATGAGCACCAGTGCCTCGATGGCCATTGGAGCAGGAATTCTCTTTGACTTGAGGAGCACAACAGCGGCCCTTTTACCTGCGACTCCCCTTGCCTGCGACTCCTATCGACGACGACTGCCAAGACGACGACTGCCATGACGACGATGACGATGATAACGATCGCAGTGGCTACAAAGAGGATAACAATGACAATGGTGGCGACGCGTCCGAATGTAACGAGTGCCTCTCGACCGCGATCGGTGGCAACAACATCGACCGCTCCTTGCAGGCGAGTACCGGTGCTCCTTCAATTTGTCCGACGTCATTTACTACGACGTCATCACCGTGCCGGCTCCCGTGCTGCTCAAGGCCCCTTGGGGGCTCGGCCCGGCCGGCGGGGTCACCCTGCAGAGCGGGAAGACGAGGCAGCTCCCCTGCTGCTTCAACACGAGTGAAAACCGCCAGTACAACTACACCGTCACGTGGAAGGTGGCGGACCAAGTGTTGAACAACAGCCAAGGTGGGCTAAGAAGACGACGCTCGCGCGACGCTGCGCACGGGGCGCCTAGTTCTGTAATGTGCCCCTTTTAAACGGGGCACGTAGGAAGTCTGCGAGCGGTACGGTGGCGCTTGCTGCCCACGGGTAGACACTCCGAACGCGAAATGTGCGTTTTTATGAACCCCCCAAAAAATTGAATTTCCAGTACCATAAAACATATGCATATTAAATTTTGATTTAAAGCTTTCGTGACTGCAGGGATTCATATTCTTGGTTCTTTCGGTAAAGTCACGTAGAAGGGAAATAATAAAATAATAAAAATATAAAACAAGAAAAATTCTCACGACGTTTCGACTGCAACACAAGCAATCATCATCTTGCTGTCGTGAGAATTTTTCTTGTTTAATATTTTTATTATTTTATTATTTCCCTTCTATGTGACTTTACCAAAAGAACCAAGAATATATATGCATATTAGTTTGCATGTTTGACCACGAGTATGTGTGATTGTGAATGCAGACCTGATGCCTCGTTATAGGTGGCCAGTTGGTGTGTGAACACCTTAACACATCCTGCTTTGTAACCAGGCCAGGTCAAAGCCGTCCACTGTTTATTATTATCTTGACACTGGCAATGGGGTCCTCCGCCAATCCCCTTTGCCTGCCATCCTTCCCAGCACCCCTCTCTCCTTGGGCCTACTCAACCCTCACGTGCCGCCACCCCGCCCATACTCAACCATAACCCGGACGTGCACCATCCCGCACAAACTCTACACAAGCAATACATTGTCCTCCCCTTTACAATTTGCCCTCCCCCTCGCACCCCCGTTCCACCACCACCGCCCCCACCTCCGCAGTCTTTCACAACACGTCTGGGATCACGTGCTGGAACCACACCGTGTCGTGGGAGGATGTGGAACAGCCGCGGACGTACAGCTGCTGGCTCGCCATCGACAAGCATAACGTGAACAGCAGCATTGACGTGGGCTTCTACGTGACACGTGAGTGTGCTCGCACGCACGCACGGAGACACACGTGTACACACTGCTTCTTACCTATACCCATAAGGAGAAAGACCCCCCCCCCCCCCCCCACCGTATCGCCTTCAACAGGCTGATGGGGCAAGTTCTGTTAGCGAGCGAACTGTGAAGGCCTAAACGGCACCACGCCAAGGGGTGGGTGGACAGCGCCACGCCCGGCCGCCTTTGTCTCCCCATTGGCGATGCTGCACACTGCACCAGGTGCTCATTTGAGACTGAGTCGACCTGGGCGAGTCCCAGAACCGGTTCAGATAATCGGCGCTGGTATTTGTAGTGAGCGGGAATCTAACTCGGGCCGCCAGGTTCGTAGTGCAGCACGCTAACCACCGCACTGCCACGTATACTCACGTGAACACACAGAGACGCAGTGACCCCTTAGACTCTCGGTTGACACATGCTCTCTCTTCCTGTTGACCCCTGAAGGTTACGGGATAACGTTCCATAACATGAACCCAAAGCCCCGCGAGAGTGTGAACATGACGTACGACCGCATCCTGAAGTCCAACGAGAACGTGGCGTGGTTCAAGGACGGTCAGGAGTTGAACACGAATGAATTTTTTACATTATACAACTCCACTGGTTCTTACCCAAGCCTCATCATCAGGAACGTGCAGCTCAATCATCAAGGTGTGATGCTGGGACGACGCAGAGTGCCAGGGTGACGTGGGAGACGAGGGGGCATGGGGACGAGGGAGGGTGGGGACGAGGGGGGGTGGGGACGAGGGGGGAGCAGGGACGAGGGGGGCACGGTGACAAGGGGGGCGTGGGGACAAGGGGGCACGGGGATTTTTCTCCGAGCGCTCCATTTTTTCCTTCCGCATGTTTAATGAACATTGCGTTTAGAGTATTTGGCTATAAATGTCTATGTGACGATGACGGTGATTCCCCGCCTCGACGAGCCATCATGTGTGACGGTCGCTTCTGACAAAGAGCCGCGTCCCCGCAGGCACGTACCGCTGCCAGGTGCTGGACGGCTTGATGGTGTTCGAGGGCAACGGCACGATGCGGATCACGGCCACGCCCGAGGTCGACCCGATGAGGGGATCCTTTAGCACCACCTCCAGGCGGTGCAACGACAATAACCTGCAAGTGCCCCTCGAGCTGTGCCTCGTGGTCCCTGCCAGCGGCACCGCCACCTGGACAATAGGGGGCCAAGACATTCCCTACGTCGGTAAGCGTGATCCACCGTGCGTATGCACGAATCGGAGGGGCGGGGAAATGGTTACAAACTCAACTTTCAGCTCTGCTATGGGTAACCTTGTCGAGCCACCGCCATGACCGGCTGGGGTTGGGGAAAGATCTTCATCCAGCAGTGGATTGACAAAGGGCGGAACATGAATGGGGGAGGCTGGTTCGTGGGGGGGGGGGTCACTATAAATCTCGTAGAGATGACTCAATACACAAACTAAACTATACATCTCGTAGAGATGACTCAATACACAAACTAAACTATACATCTTGTAGAGATGACTCAATACACAAACTAAATTATACATCTCATTAAGATGACTCAATACACAAACTAAACTATACATACATCTACTAGTGATGACTCAATACACAAACTAAACTATACATCTCGTAGTGATGACTCAATACACAAACTAAACTATACATCTCATTAAGATGACTCAATACACAAACTAAACTATACATACATCTACTAGTGATGACTCAATACACAAACTAAACTATACATCTCGTAGTGATGACTCAATACACAAACTAAACTATAAATCTCGTAGAGATGACTCAATACACAAACTAAACTATAAATCTCGTAGAGATGACTCAATACACAAACTAAACTATACATCTTGTAGAGATGACTCAATACACAAACTAAACTATAAATCTCGTAGAGATGACTCAATACACAAACTAAACTATACATCTCGTAGAGATGACTCAATACACAAACTAAACTATAAATCTCGTAGAGATGACTCAATACACAAACTAAACTATAAATCTCGTAGAGATGACTCAATACACAAACTAAACTATACATCTCGTAGTGATGACTCAATACACAAACTAAACTATAAATCTCGTAGAGATGACTCAATACACAAACTAAACTATAAATCTCGTAGAGATGACTCAATACACAAACTAAACTATACATCTCGTAGAGATGACTCAATACACAAACTAAACTATAAATCTCGTAGAGATGACTCAATACACAAACTAAACTATAAATCTCGTAGAGATGACTCAATACACAAACTAAACTATACATCTCGTAGTGATGACTCAATACACAAACTAAACTATAAATCTCGTAGAGATGACTCAATACACAAACTAAACTATAAATCTCGTAGAGATGACTCAATACACAAACTAAACTATACATCTCGTAGAGATGACTCAATACACAAACTAAACTATAAATCTCGTAGAGATGACTCAATACACAAACTAAACTATAAATCTCGTAGAGATGACTCAATACACAAACTAAACTATACATCTCGTAGTGATGACTCAATACACAAACTAAACTATACATCTCGTAGAGATGACTCAATACACAAACTAAACTATACATCTCGTAGAGATGTCTCAATACACTATGATACCTGCTTTACCAGTAGCAAAATATAGTAATAGCTTTTTACCCTTTTTTGAGTTGTACGCCTTTTGGCGTCATCTGGTCCAACACCAATGGAGACTAGGCTCTAAGAAAAGCTGTCTCGGGTGTGGACCAATACACTTCAAGGACAGCGCTTATCATTATCATTATCAGAGTTGCTTCTTTTTGTTTGCATTTTGACTGCTTGTGTTGTGGTTATTGCAAACATGATGCCTTGTAAAAAAAGTGTCAGTTTTTGTACCAGTTGAAAGCGTAAAAACCTATTACTATGACTCAACACCCAAACTAAACTATAAACCTCGTAGATGACTCAACACACAAACTAAACTATACATCTACTAGAGATGACTCAATACACAAACTAAACTATAAATCTCGTAGAGATTACTCAATACACAAACTGAACTGACATACTCTTTGGTTCTTTCAGTAAAGTCACGTAGGTATGAAATAAAATAAATCACGACGTTTGGGGTGCAACACAAGCGTCCGTCATCAGGTGGGACAACCACAGCAAGAAACAATCGCTGAAGTGGGCAAGAGGGCTGCCGTGACAAGAGGTGATGTAGGTAACAGAGGGTGGAGGAGCAAGGGGGGAGAGAGAGAGGGGGGGGATGTGGGGTAGGGGGAGGGGAGCGCTGCGAGAGCGTTAAGGGAAGAGCAGACGTGAGGCGGGGGGGGAAGTGGGCGGGGCTGGGAGTGGGAGACTGAGGAAGCTGGAGATGCGGATATGAAGGCAACGCCATAAAGCAGTGAAGGTTTTACCTGGTTAATAACATCCTTCCAATGATTGCTCAATTTGTATCTATCTTCTCGGTTGAAGTTATGTTTATATAGCTGGATGGCTTCATGAACAAACCTTTGATAGTCGCCCGAAGGTTTGAAGAGCACCTTGGTCTCGGAAAAAACAATGTCATGAGAGCCCACAGCGTTATAACAATGATCAGCCACGGCAGAGGTATTGGTTCTGCCGTGTTTCAGATCTGCCTTGTGTTCGTGAACACGGTCCGAGACATGTCGTTTTGTTTCCCCAATGTAACAGCCACCACAGGTGCAACTTAGTTTGTAGGCTCCAGGATATTGCATGTCCGGAAGGACATCCTTCACAGATGGGATTAGATCGCGGATTTGTGTACTGTATTCTAATCGGACCTGGATCTTGTGTTTGTTTAAGATTTTGGAAATCTTTTTGGTAACACCTGCTATGTATGGTAACGTGATGGTTTTGATCGGCATCTCAGGGGGTTGTTTCTTTATGGTTGGAGAAACAGCTTTGCGGATAATGATGTCCGAGTACCCATTCATCTTGAGGGCTTGGTGTACGTGTTCCAGTTCACTGGCTAGGTGGTGTTGGTCGGAAATGCAGTGGGCCCTATGGTGTAGTGTTTTGATGAGGGAATTCTTCTGTACCGGATGGTGGTGGGAATCAGGTTTCAGATAGGAATCTGTGTGAGTGGCTTTCCTGTAGACAGTGTCCCAACGAGCCATCAGGTCTCTTCTCAAACAAGACATCCAAGAGTGGTAGCTTACCATCCTTCTCCACTTCCATGGTGAATTTGATGGATGGGTGTATGGAATTAATGTGGTTGAGAAATTGGTTCAATGCTGGCAGGTCATGTGCCCAAATGACGAAAGTGTCATCTACATTTCTCTTCCACAAGGAAGGACGTAGGGTGGATGTCTGGATGGCATCTGTTTCAAATTTCTCCATGAAAACATTCGCTATCACTGGTGATAAGGGGGAACCCATGGGGGTACCTTCATTTTGTTTGTAGAAAGTACCATTCCAGGTGAAGTAAGTGTTAGCAAGGCAGTGCCTAACTAGAGTAGGAACATCAGGATTCAGTCGATGTTGGACTAAATCTTCAATTATTGCTATGGTGTCAGGCACAGGAACCTTGGTGAATAGAGAAACCACATCAAAGCTGACGAGAAAATCATCTGGGGACAGTGAAATGCCCTTGATTAGAGAGACCAAGTGAGCTGAATGCTGAGGTAGTCTTGCCAGTGAATGGAAGCAAGGTATCCCCCCCCCTCTCTCACCCCCCTTGCTCCTCCCCCCTCTGTTACCTACATCACCTCTTGTCACGGCAGCCCTCTCGCCCACTTCAGCGGTTGTTTCTTGCTGTGGTTGTCCCACCTGATGACGGACGCTTGTGTTGCGCCCGAAACATCGTGATTTATTTTATTTTATACCTACGTGACTTTACCAAAAGAACCAAAGAGTATGGATCCCTGCAGTCACGAAAGCTTCAAATCTAGACTAAACTGTCATCTAAGGTTCTACAGACTTAGCAGATTGAAAACAGGCCACGTTGATCGAGGGGCTGGTGAAGACCTGCCCGGAACCTGGGGGACACAACCGAGGGCAAAAATAACTCTTTGTAAAGATGCAAATGCGTAGTGCCTTGACAGCTTTTGTCTTCGTCTGCACTGCTAATTAAAGGCCACCGAAGGCAACTTGCTGTGTAAAGCGAGTTGCGTCACGAGTAGCCGGTGCAACGTTTCCCAACTTTTGCGACGATGCTTTACCTTGCGTAACATTTTTCCCGACGTGTTTTTTGTTTTGTTCTCACTCAGCACCCATCAATATCACCACGGGCTGCTCGGCTTACAACGTGACACGTAAACCCCTGTCCTGCAGCGATGTCACGGTCACGTGCATATTCTCGACGAACGGCCTCAACTCCGCCCCCAAAACCCTCACGGTCGTCTTCACATCGGGTACGTGGTGAGCGCGTTGTGCAGCTGTGTCCGGAACACTCGGGCCCGGCATGGCGGATGTCTCCTTCAAATATTCATGGTGTGGGCGCTGCCCATCCTAAGTGCGGTGAGAGTAATGGCGACGCTCTGCTGGTTCACGACGAACTAAGGACCCTGGTTTGGCTCGTTCTTTCTCTTCAAGAGTAAACTCATCCTGCGTGGCTGAACATTTTCCAGCTCCCTACTCGACTGGAAAGTGTCACGAGACCGGTAGCCACAGCCATAGTGAGGTGTTATGGGTTTGGGCTGACTGAGATTCATATTAGATTGTATTTATTTAAGTAGGAAGTGCCCAATGAGCTGCTAGGCTCTATTTTATAGTCGTCCTGACTGGCAGATCCACGACCTGTGCTGCCCACTGTGCCACGTCGCTGTGTTTTTTCTGCCCAGTGCTCTGCTCATTGTTGTGGGCACTCGGTGCATGCATGCACACACACGCACATGCACACACTAATGGAGGCGTGCTCTCGAGAAACAGTGCCGTTGCTCACCACAGTCTGTCGCTGAATGTCTGTCAGGTACGGACATCTGCACGGATAAGGATAATGTGTGGCCGGATACAAATAAAGAGAGCGTGGCCACCATACAATGCGGAAAGGGCTACACCGGATACATCAATCGGACATGCTTACTGGACGGGTCATTCGGCAACGCAACCGACAACTGCGTCTCCAATGCCTTAAAGAACGCCAGCAATGAAATAAAAGTACGGCTTGCAGGGTCCGGGGGGGAGGGGGGGCAGGTGGCAGCGCACACGCCGCCTGTCGCGGAGAGTCGTGGCGCTGGCCCGCTGGCCGCCCCGGTTAATAGCGAGCGGGGCGTGCTATTTACCGGGGCGTGCTGTTTACCGGGGCGTGCTGTTTACCGGGGCATGCTGTTTACCGGGGCGTGCTGTTTACCGGGGCGTGCTATTTACCGGGGCGTTCAGAGGCAGAGTTTGGCTTGGAAGTTTTTGGGGGGGGTGGTGGTGGTGGTTGGGGTTTGCTTTGTCCCTCACATTAGGAACTGCGGGTGCATATTATTAATGCATTTTTTATTTTAATTATAAACTACAGAAAATAAATTAATAAAGGTGTTCAGTTTGGACGGGGCATTGCACCTCCCCAGTGCACCCCCGCAAACTCTGCCCTTGGCCGTCTGCTTCACAGCGGACGTTAAAGATCCACTCGCTCTGAGCGTATTTATTCTGAGACTTACAGAGGATGACCCTGGGAAGACCCCCTGGGAAGACCCCCCGGGAAGACCCCCCGGGAGGACCCCCTGGGAAGACCCGAACAGCTGTCACCACCAGGTCACGCCGTCTCTCGCTCGCTTCACCCCAGGACCTTCAGGCTGGTGTGGGCAAAGTGGAAGTTAAAGTTCCGGAGGTCCTGGCATTGTTGACCAACGCCACCACGAACACAACCAACATCCTCCAAGGAGAAGTCACGTCCGTCAGCGAAACCCTTGAGAACATTGTGAGCGTCTCCGGCAATTACACGTTCAGCCCAGCCGTGGTCAAGGTGAGGCCACGCCGCCGTCGCCCCTGAACTCTTTGATGGTCTCCACCCCTAATTCTAGATTTGAAATTTTCGTGACTTCAAGGATCCATACTCTTTGGTTTTTTTGGTAAAGTCACGTAGGTGAAAACAGTCACACCTGATGACGGATGCTTGTGTTGCTTCCGAAACGTCGTGATTTAATTTAGTTTTATTTTATTTTGTTTTCACCTACGTGACTTTACCGGACAAAACAAAGAGTAAGGTCTCCACCCCACCAGTAACATTCGAGTACGCATCTCGTCGGTTGTTCCCGTGGGGTATCCTGCCCATCTGCATCGGTCTTCACAGGTGCCACTCGCTGACACAATTCACCCCAACGGTCTGCTAAAGGGTACACACGGGGGGGGGGAATCTTTGTCTTTCAGAGTTTTATTAACTCTGTGAGCAACCTGCTGTCAACAAATACGATAAGCAGCACAGCAGGGGATGCCGTCAAAACCGAGAGCTCCAGGCTGCTGAAGAACGTGGAGGCGTTCGCCAACACCATTGACACCGACGCCTTCAACACGACGACAGGTAGCGGGCACGGAGCGCTCGGCACGGAGCGCTCGGCACGGAGCGCTCGGCACGGAGCGCTCGGCACGGAGCGCTCGGCACGGAGCGCTCGGCACGGAGCGCTCGGCACGGAGCGCTCGGCACGCGCGCCGCCCGTGCGGCGTCGCTCCGGCACGCGCAGCGCCGAGGCCCAGTCTGACGTACGACGAGAGCGGATGAGATAATGATTAAGTCGTGGGGTTGTTGTTACAAGTGGTGGTGGTGTAGTTCTGGTGGTGACAAGAGAATGGGCGGGAGTGGCTAAGGAGGGGTTGGGGTAGTGGTAGTGATAGGGGTAGTAGTAGAGGTAGTGATAGGGGCTGGGGTAGTGATAGGGTTGGGGTAGTGATAGGGTTGGGGTAGTGATAGGGGTTGGAGTAGTGATAGGGGTTGGGGTAGCGATAAGGGTTGGGGTAGCGATATGGGTTGGGGTAGTGATAGGGGTTGGGGTAGTGATAGGGGTTGGGGTAGTGATAGGGGTACAGGTAGTGGTAGGAGTATGGGTAGTGGTAGGAGTATGGGTAGTGATAGGGGTATGGGTAGTGATAGTGGTAGAAGTAGTGATAGGGGTTGGGGTAGCGAAAGGCGTAGAAGTAGTGATAGGGGTATGGGTAGTGATAGTGATAGCGGTAGAGGTAGTGATAGGGGTTGGGGTAGCGGTAGGGATAGAAGTAGCGATAGGGGTAGAAGTAGTGATAGGGGTAGTGGTAGGGGTATAGGTAGTGGTAGGGGTAGAAGTAGTGATAGGGGTTGGGGTAGCGGTAGGGATTGAAGTAGCTATAGGGATAGTGATAGTGATAGGGGTAGTGATAGGGATAGTGGTAGAGGTAGTGATAGGGATTGGGGTAGTGGTAGGGGTAGTGGTAGGGGTAGGGATTGGGGTAGTGGTAGGGGTAGTGGTAGGGGTAGGGATTGGGTAGTGGTAGGGGTAGTGGTAGGGGTAGTGATAGTGGTATGGGTAGTGATAGGGGTAGTGATAGGGATAGGGGTAGTGATAGTGATAGAGGTAGTGGTAGGGGTAGTGATAGGGATAGGGGTAGTGGTAGGGGTATGGGTAGTAGTAGGGGTAGTAATAGGGGTAGAGGTAGTGATAGGGATTGGGGTAGTGGTAGGGGTAGTGGTAGGGCTATGGGTAGTGGTAGGGGTAGTGATCGGGATTGGGGTAGTGGTAGGGGTAGTGTTAGTGGTAGAGATAGGGGTATGGGTAGTGGTAGGGATAGTAGTAGGGGTATGGGTAGTGGTAGAGGTAGTGATAGGGGTAGTGATAGTGGTAGGGGTAGTGGTAGGGCTATGGGTAGTGGTAGGGGTAGTGGTAGGGGTATGGGTAGGGGTAATGGTAGGGGTAGTGGTAGGGGTAGAGGTAGTGATAGGGGTAGTGATAGTGGTAGAGGTAGGGGTAGGGATTGGGGTAGTGATAGGGGTAGTGATAGTGGTAGAGGTCTGGGTAGGGATTGGAGTAGGTGTAGTGATAGTGGTAGGGGTGGTGATTGCGGTCCAGGTACTCAATCATTGCCAAGTCGACCAAGAGGAGGCCCAGAGCCAGTCGAGGTGTTCACCGCTGATGTTGGCTACAGACGGTAATTTAACTTGGGTGGTCACAGCTCCATAGCATAGTGACACGGTGACACAGTGACACAGTGGCACAGTGACACGGTGACACAGTGACACGGTGACACAGTGGCACGGTGACACGGTGACACGGTGACACGGTGGCACGGTGACACGGTGACACGGTGACACGGTGGCACGGTGACACGGTGGCACGATGACACGGTGGCACGGTGACACAGTGACACAGTGAGTGACACGGTGACACGGTGACATGGTGACACAGTGACACGGTGACACGGTGACACGGTGACACGGTGACATGGTGACACAGTGACACGGTGGCACGGTGACACAGTGACACAGTGACACGGTGACACGGTGACACGGTGACACAGTGGCACAGTGACACAGTGACACAGTGGCACAGTGACACGGTGACACAGTGACACAGTCACAGAGTGACACAGTGACACAGTGAGTGACACAGTGACACAGTGAGTGACACGGTGACACAGTGGCACAGTTACACGGTGACACAGTGACACAGTCACAGAGTGACCCAGTGACACAGTGAGTGACACGGTGACACGGTGACACAGTGACACGGTGACATAGTGACACAGTGAGTGACACAGTGACACAGTGACACGTGGCACAGTGACACAGTGACAGTGACACAGTGACACGTGACACAGTGACACAGACACAGTGAGTGACACAGTGACACGGTGACACGGTGACACAGTGACACAGTGACATAGTGAGTGACACAGTGACACGGTGAGTGACACAGTGAGTGACACAGTGACACACACAGTCACACAGTGACACAGTGACATAGTCACACAGTCACACAGTGACACAGTGACACAGTGAGTGACACAGTGACACAGTCACAGAGTGACACAGTGACACAGTGAGTGACACGGTGACACAGTGACACAGTTACACGGTGACACAGTGACACAGTCACAGAGTGACCCAGTGACACAGTGAGTGACACAGTGACACGGTGACACGGTGACACGGTGACATAGTAACACAGTGAGTAACACAGTGACACAGTGACACGTGACACAGTGACACAGTGACAGTGACACAGTGACACATGACACAGACACGGTAAATGACACAGTGACACGGTGACACGGTGACATGGTGACACAGTGACACAGTGACATAGTGAGTGACACAGTGACACGGTGAGTGACACACACAGTCACACAGTGACACAGTGACATAGTCACACAGTCACACAGTGACACAGTGACACAGTGAGTGACACAGTGAGTGACACAGTGACACGGTAACACGGTGACACGGTGACACAGTGACACAGTGACACAGTGAGTGACACAATGACACGGTGACATGGTGACACAGTGACAGTGACACAGTGAGTGACACAGTGACACGGTGACACAGTGACACGGTGACACAGTGACACAGTGACACAGTGAGTGACACAGTGACACACACAGTCACACAGTGACACAGTGACACAGTCACACAGTCACACAGTCACACAGTGACACAGTGAGTGACACAGTAAGTGACACAGTGAGTGACACAGTGAGTGACACAGTGACACAGTGACACGGTGACACGGTGACACAGTGACACAGTGACATAGTGAGTGACACAGTGACACGGTGACATAGTGACACAGTGACACGGTGACACAGTGACACAGTGACACGGCGACACAGTGACACAGTGAGTGACACAGCGACATAGTGACACAGTGAGTGACACAGCGACACAGTGACACAGTGACACGGTGACACGGTGACACAGTGACACAGCGACACAGTGACACAGTGACACGGTGACACAGTGAGTGACACAGTGACACAGTGAGTGACACAGTGACACGTTGACACAGTGACACAGTGAGTGACATGGTGACACAGTGAGTGACACGGTGACACAGTGAGTGACACAGTGACATAGTGACACAGTGAGTGACACAGTGACACGGTGACACAGTGACACGGTGACACGGTGACACAGTGACACAGTGACACGGTGACACAGTGACACAGTGAGTGACACAGTGACACAGTGAGTGACACAGTGACACGGTGACACGGTGACACGGTGACATAGTGACACAGTGAGTGACACAGTGACACAGTGACACGTGACACAGTTACACAGTGACAGTGACACAGTGACACGTGACACAGTGACACAGACACGGTGAGTGACACAGTGACACAGTGACACGGTGACACGGTGACACAGTGACACAGTGACATAGTGAGTGACACAGTGACACGGTGAGTGACACAGTGAGTGGCACAGTGACACACACAGTCACACAGTGATACAGTGACACAGTCACACAGTCACACAGTGACACAGTGACACAGTGAGTGACACAGTAAGTGACACAGTGAGTGACACAGTAAGTGACACAGTGAGTGACACAGTGACACAGTGAGTGACACAGTAAGTGACACAGTGAGTGACACAGTAAGTGACACAGTGAGTGACACAGTGACACAGTGAGTGACACAGTGACACGGTGACACAGTGACACAGCGACACAGTGACACAGTGACACAGTGACACGGTGACACAGTGAGTGACACAGTGACACAGTGAGTGACACAGTGACACGGTGACACCGTGAGTGACACAGTGACACAGTGAGTTACACGGTGACACAGTGAGTGACACAGTGACATAGTGACACAGTGAGTGACACAGTGACACGGTGACACGGTGACACAGTGACACAGTGACACGGTGACACAGTGACACAGTGAGTGACACAGTGACACAGTGAGTGACACAGTGACACAGTGACACAGTGACACAGACACAGTGACACAGTGACACTGACATAGACACAGTGACACAGTGAGTGACACAGTGACACAGTGAGTCACACAGTGAGTCACACAGTGACACAGTGAGTGACACAGTGACACAGTGAGTGACACAGTGACACCATCTCCCCCCCCCCACCACACTCGACCGCACTCCACACACAAAGCGCTTTTGTGGGTGACGGACAGTAACCACGCGAATATGTCCTCTGTGGAGTGCAGATACGCAGAAGGATTTCGACATCAAGACCGCCAACATTGTGCTAAATGGCACGGTGTACGGCAACAACAGAATAACACCGTACTTGAAGGTGTATTTCAACAACACGGTGTCCATTGACGAGGACGTGATCAAAAATCTTACACGACCCATCATCATCACCAGCATTTTCTTCCCGTGAGTGATGTGTCCACGTCATCAGCATCCTGACATTAGGATGTTGTGACCTAGCGCCAGGATAATTGAATTGATCATCTGTTGCTGACTTTTCAGCTCAGTTACTCGGATTAGCTCGATTATAGTCGGGAAAATAGTGTGACCAATGTGTTGCTGGACGGGAGGTGATCGGTAGGTGTTTGGTGACGTCACCGGCACCGTCGGCCGTGGTTATTGCTGGGCGCAGTTCGGAGCGAGGGGGCAGGATGTGGGGAAAGACGTCGCCAGATTAAAAATGGTCCCAATAATAATCTCACAATTAAAACGTACGATGCTCATTCCATCCTAGGATCCCAATGCGCAATGCATGAAAAGCAGGAAACAAACACATACCAGGGGGCAAGCGACCAAACTAAAGAGGGAAAGTCAATTTAAAGAGATGAGTTTTCAAAGCAGACTTCAATATATCTACCGACTCTGATCGCCTGATTTCAAGTGGCGAGGCGTTCCATAGCTTGGCTGCCACGCTAACAAAAGCACGATCGCCAAAAAAGCTCAACCTAGACCTGGGAGTGCTGAGGAGATAAGAAGAACTTGAGGACCTTGATGGAATAAGTAATTTGGGGTGAGTCCCTTCAAAGCATTATAGCTTAATAGCAGTATCTTAAAATCCACTCGGAATTTGACCGGTAGCCCGTGAAGAGATAAGAAGACTGGTGTAACGTGCAGGAAGTGATGCATTCTGGCAATAGTTCTTAGGTGGAAAAATAACATTTAAATCTCCTTAGATATATGTGACTCAAAGGATAATGAGCGGTCGAACTGGAAAGAGACTCGTCCTGTACTATTTTACACGTCGACAAAACTCCCGAATTCGACCCATGACATCGGCGGGGACTTTAACACCAATGCCTGTTATAATACATGCAGAAGGTGATCTGTGACCAGAGGATTAACCCTCCCGTCACACCTCGCATGTCCCACCACATATTATCTTATTTCATATGTATAGAGCGCCTTAGCTCAAGGCGTTTGACAGAGTTTAATAGCGATAACAACAACAGAGTGATTTAGATGGCCAGGGACAGTGCAAGGGCCAAAGGATGAGCGATCGTACCACAGGGCACATGGGAGGGGGGGGGGTCACGAGAGGGCTATAGGGGAGGGTCGGGCAGGAGTGGAGGGGCGAGGGAAGGTAAGAGGAAGGGAATGGGCAGTGGAGAACTGGTGAGGCTCTAAGAGAGGGGTGTGAGGAGGACACGTCGTCGCCGGATTGCGTGCGTTTCGCGTGCGGGGCCTTGTCTTGTGACCACCGACTTAACAGACGGGGTTCACGGGCCACCCTCGGGCCGTGCTGAACTGTCCCCAACGTGGCCAGGGAGGGGGCGGGTCCACACCAAGCCCCTGGGGCAAAACGCAGCAGTGGCAATGACGGCCGCATTGCACTGATGGTTCCCTAGGATGTCACCGGCAAGGTTGTCTCCTTGTCCTGCTGCTGCTGTCCACAATGTTGTGGCTGCAATGTCGGCTTTCTTGAGTCGGCGGTCGAACATAAAGCTTCACGTACGCCGTATTTTGACTTTTTTCATTTTCTTAGTTTCTCAAAATATACGGACGCCTGTGACACGATCGCCAGTTGACATTGCCCCGACTCTTAAAGTAAAGTATAGATAAGCATCCCAGTGATTCTTGCGACAATCGTCTCTGTGACGATAATTGCTCATGACAATGCCAGTGAAAGGGACTCGCATGTTACCGACGCTCGCTGACACCCCCATGTGACACTGACGCCTGCGACTCCGATCATTGTGACGACGACGACGATGATATCGACGTCGTCCATTGAACCGTGACAAGCCTGTGATGCTGCTACCCACTGCCACACCAACGCAGGACGCTAGGAGACGTTCTCGGACAGGCTGCCCCTGAGAACTCAACGAATGAGACGGCCAATGCGCCGAAGGTGGCCAGCATCGTGGTCAGCACCATCTTAAAAGTCAATTCCAGCCTGAGCAAGATCACCATGGATATGAATCTCATTCCGCTGGCCAGAAACTACAGCAACTACAGCTGTGTCCACTGGAGTTTCAAGGTAACCAGCATGCCCTTGCAGAACGTGAGTGGTTACAGCATTCAAATCACGTTTCAGGGTGTTGGGCGATGCCCCTTCTCCACTGGCACACCCGAGCCGTGCCAGTGCGGGGCCAACACGGTACGGGTGTCTTTGTTCACCGGCTCTTTGCCGGGTCGTCGCTCGACATTTTGAATCTGCCTCTGGGAGCAAGTGGCGTAAGCGTCTAATAACACATTCATTGCACGTGACACAATAGTGGCTCGGCTAGGCCTCTACATATTTATGTACGTTTGGTAATCGACAACAGATTTAAATGCAACATTTATATGTTTGACAACTGAACATAGAGTATTTATGTCCGTTGATTTGATGTACCCTTGGTTATCAAACGTGTACATTATTTTATTTTGCCTATACTCAAACGTATGATTTATCAGGTATTTAAAAATGTACATCAAACTTTTATTTAATGCTTTAAAAGTATTTGATGAATTGTCAATAATTAATAATGTAGTTATTACATTGTTGCTACGTCTCAGAAATAAAACGTATATAACTAATCAAATATAGCAACAAATATCATGATTCGCCTGATAGCGCTTTTAAAGTCGCCACATATTTAACTTGATACCTTTACCAAGTATTGAGAAGATACTTGGTAACTTAACACGTCACTAAATACATAACACGTGGAGGCAGGAGATGTCGTAGCTGGCCCTGCTGGTGATGGTGGGAAGCGAGTGGCTGAGGGAGTGGAGGCAGGAGAGGGAATCCAGGCAAGGATGACGCGGGAAAGATGGCTGTGCAACCATTGGGGTTTATTCTCTTCACCATCATTTTCCTTTTTTACCGTTTGGCTCGTGCCTACGTACACTCATCGTTTGAAAATGTCTTAGTTATTCTTATTTTCACCTTCATTGGCAGTTAGTCACAGAGCTCCCAAGGCCTTCCCCACCATTGCCGTGTATTTATATTGCTTCGATGAGCGAAGAAATTCGTGCAGAAATGTTGACGTTGTTGTGCATTGTACGCCTCCGATCGGGACTGAACTGGGCGTGCGTGCACGTTTGTGATTTGCAGATGAACAACTACTCGGGGGGGTGGTCCGACGAAGGCTGCACTGTCGGCAATTACAACAACCAGACCAATGTCCTGACGTGCATCTGCAGCCATCTCACCTCGTTCTCCGTGCTCATGTCGCCCAACGGAGATAATGCATTAAGTGATTTAGAAAAGAAAACCCTCGGCTACATCACCTACGTGGGCGTGAGCGTCTCCATGGGCGCGCTCGTGTGCGCCCTCATCGTCGAGGCCGTGGCCTGGCGCTACGTCAGGAAGCAGGAAAACTCGCGCATGCGCCACATCATCCTCATCAACATCTGCGCGTCGCTGCTCTTCGCCGACGTGTGGTTCATCGTGGCCGCGTCCGACGTCAGCACCAAGGTTAACACCAACCTCTGCCTGGCCTCCACCTTCCTCATGCACCTCGGCTACCTCTCGGTCTTCTTCTGGATGCTGTGCGAGGGCCTCTTCCTCTTCTACCTCGTCGTCATCATCTTCAGCCGCGTCCCCATGAAGCATCTCAGGGCGGCCGCGTTCGCCGTGGGCTACGGGGCGCCGGCCGTCATCGCGGTCGTCACCATCGCCGTGACGAAGCCGCGCGACGCGTACACGCGGAAGGGAGTCTGCTGGCTCGACTGGGAGAACAGCCGGGCTCTGCTGTCCTTCGTCGTACCCGCGTTGGTCATCGTCGGCTTCAACACCATCATCCTGGTGGTGGTGCTCACCAAGATCCTGCGCCGTCGCAGCGTCAGCGCGGCCATCAGCGAGAGCCCCTCGGTTCGCGTCAAGCAGCTGGCCAAGAGCATCGCCGTCATGATGCCCGTCCTCGGGGTCACGTGGGGACTCGGCATCTTCGCTTTCAGTAAAGAGAACAGCGACAACCAAGCTCTGCACTACCTGTTCACCATCTTCAACTCCCTGCAGGTGTGTCCTTTGCACGCATCGCTTTAAGGTCAAACGTGGAAGCCAAAGCGGCGTTGCTCTGACGGAGATCGCAAATGTAAACACACAAAAAATGCCTTTCACATATTTCGAAAGGTGCAACTCTACGATCGCCATGCCACAGACTTTCTAGCCTCACTACCATCAACACCACCACCAGCATCAACCACCACCATCATCACTATCACCACCATTACCATCATCACCAAAACAAAGATCCCCCGTATAGCCTGTAACAGACTTTTGGGGCAAGTGCTGTTGGCGAGCACCTAAAAAAGGCCGGCACGGCACACGAGGGGGTGGGTGGCCAGCACCACGCCCGCCTTTGGTGTGGGGGATAAGCCGGGAGGGGGGGGGGGGCGTTGTGAGCGCCAGTGCTGAGGAGTCTCCGCTGGGCGCACCCCGCTCGATTTGACCCCCTGCGTGTTCGCCTCTTGTCCCAGTGCCCCCCCCCGCTCCCATCCCCCCCCCCGATCCCATCCCCCCCCCCGCTCCCCCCCCGCTCCCTCCCCCCCCGCTCCCATCCCCCCCCCGCTCCCTCCCCCCCCCGCTCCCATCCCCCCCCCCGCTCCCATCCCCCCCCGCTCCCTTCCCCCCCGCTCCCATCCCCCCCCCCGATCCCATCCCCCCCCCCGCTCCCCCCCCCGCTCCCTCCCCCCCCCGCTCCCATCCCCCCCCGCTCCCATCCCCCCCCGCTCCCTTCCCCCCCACTCCCATCCCCCCCCCCGCTCCCATCCCCCCCCGCTCCCTCCCCCCCCGCTCCCATCCCCCCCCCCCGCTCCCATCCCCCCCCGCTCCCATCCCCCCCCGCTCCCTCACCCCCGCTCCCTCCCCCCCCGCTCCTTCCCCCCGCTCCCCCCCCTGCTCCCTCCCCCCCGCCCCCCCCGCTCCCCCCCCGCTCCCTCTGGCTCGCCGAGTGCGTGCGGTGCCATCCACTGTCAGCAGGGGGCCGTCCTCCGATACGGGGACTCCTCTACTTACGAACATTCGACTTACGAACTTTCAGAGATACGAACAAACCCGTCCGTTATGTGCAGGTGCTTGTTCGGCCGAGAGTCGTAAGTTCAACTTCCGCGCAATAGATGGCGGTGGTGGCATCTACTTCTGCAGAACGCGAAGAACCAGTGGCATCTACAGGAGCTTATACAACTTTTAAAGTCATTCCCCGTGTCTAGTGTACATGCCTCACAGCACGTTTGGAATCGACGTTTTAACATTCTACTATTTGTTGTCTCGTTGTGACGTCACAGGGCTTGTTCATATTCCTCTTCGACTGCCTCATGGACATCGAGGTGAGTGCATGCGCCCTGCGGCGCGTACACTCGCTGTCGTTATCACTGCAGGGGAGTGGTGGCGCTGTGGTTAGCGCGGCCGTGCTGTCGATCAACTCGGCGACCAGAGTTTAGTTTGCGGCCACGGCCAACGTCAGGGGCGGGTCCTGGACCTCCCCCCGTCACCTCCTGTGACCAGCGTGGTGAAGTTTACTAAAACAGCCCCCATGACCGGCATTAACAAGGGCGGGAGCCCAGAGCGACAGACAAACAACACGAACGGGACACACAATCGACAAGCGACGCACGCAAATGACACGATCGAGACACCGCGATGGTGATTATTCGCGAGTCGAAGCGTGACAGCCATCGAGTGCCAGCTGTGGTGGTGGTGATGATGGTGGGTAGGTCGACTCAGCCTCAAATGAGTACCTGGTGCGATGTGTAAACATTGCCACTGGGGAGACAAAGGCGGCCGGGCGTGGTGTTGGCCACCCACCCCCTCATGTGCCGTTCCGGCATTTTTTAGGTGCTTGCCAGTCGCCAACTGGGCAAAGGCCCACACAGTCTGTTACAGGCTATACGGGGATCTTTGTTTTGGTGATGGTGATGATGGTGGTGGTGATGATGGTCGTGGTGGTGGTTGATTCTGGTGGCGTTGACGGTGACGATGCCACCACATGGCGAGTCGCCACGCAGCCTGAGGTTGCCCCAGCTGCGGCTTTTCCCACTGCAGTTGCAATCCAGAGGTGGTCCCGTCGATATGAATCTTTGGCCGCTTTAAAAAAACATTCCGCATGATGATGAGCCACTTTGCTGAGCGATAGTTTGTGGTTTGCCAGGTCGCTTCTGAAACAGATCTAAGATAGCTCAGTGGGCTTGACCTGGTAAAATAAAAATGAAAAAATGTTGTTGGTAGTCTAGGAGTTAGTATGGTCTCCCGGCACGATAGTTGAAGCCATGGGCAAGTTTCTTAACCTCCCCACCATCCACCCAGAAAACGAATGAGTAGACCATATAATTGTTTTTTTTTACCCTTTTATCTGGCAACAAAACTGACATCTTTTTTTACAAGGAGTCATGTTTGCATTGACCACAATACCTGCAGTCGGAATGCAAACAAAAAACATAACTCTGATAATGTATGCACTGTCCTTGAAATTGATTGGTCCAAACCCGAGACAGCTTTTCTTCGGGCCTAGTCTCACATGGTGTTGGACCAGATGACGCCAAAAGGTGCACGAAAAATAAAGGTGTCAGTTTTGTTGCCAGATAAAAGGGTAAAAAAAACAATTATCATATTTTGCTACTGGCAAAGGAGGTTCCAATGGTGAGTAGACCACAGTTGATAGATGGCGTGCGGCGGGGTGACATGCGGGTACTCTCGCTTCACCCAGCGTGGAAGAGTAGGCCAAATACCGGACAGACTCTAGAGTGGCTCTGTGGAGTAGTAGAGCGCCCTGTCGTGGAGAGGGAGATGTTGCAAGGGCGCCGCGCCTTTAGCTCAGCCGATGAGTGTGTTGTTGTTGTTTGAAGTCCTGGCGAGTGGGTTGTTGTTGTTGTTAGAAGTCCTGGCGAGTGGGTTGTTGTTGTTAGAAGTCCTGCCGAGTGGGTTGTTGTTGTTGTTGCTGTTGCTGCTGCACGTGTCACGAGTCACGGTCCGCCGCCGCCTCTCTGCAGGTGCGCAAGGCGATCAAGAAAGTGACGGGGATCAACCTCGTCGCACGACACGTGAGTCGCGGGGGGCTGGGGGGGGGGGCTCCGTGGCGTTCCGACGTCGGGTCGCACGCGAACTTCCACACTCCGCCTTTTCCATCTCGCGTTTCATCATCGCCATCAGCAGCAGCAGCAGCGGTGGTCTATCCACTGCTGCATTAAGGCCCCCCTCTATCTCTCAGGGTGTCTGTGGCGCGGTCTCCACTGTGGCTGCCGCTCCGTGGATAGTTCCGATCAAGCGGCCCGCGGGCCTCGCTTGCAGCGTGTCCTGCACAGCAGGCCGCTTAGCTCTTCTCTCTCCACGTCTGATGCGATGGACTCCATTCGTGTGCGCGTGAAAGAGAAGGCCGATTACCATGTACCCCACGTGTATGTTGCAACACTGTTCGCATGAATGTTGAACCTTCGTGCTAATCTGGGGGTGGAAGAACAACAAACGAAACAAAGACACGCACACGCGTGTCCTTCCTGAATCCCGGCATCATCCCCCGCATGCACCTCGCCGCTCTTCTCTGCGCACTTGTTCCGCTCGCTGTGTCGGTGTCCAGCGGGGCTGCATGAGGTTTGGTCTCTGTCGGCGTGATACGTCAGCGACACGTGTCTCCGCGTGTGTCCGCGTGCGGGCGGGCGTCGACTCTGATGAGTACCTGGTGCGATGTGTAGTAGAACATCGCCACTTAGGGGGACAAAGGCGGCCGAGCGCGGTGCTGGTCACC